CCCTCTATGAGTGCCCCCTTCCTATCTCACCTTTTTTCTGTTGATGGGGACGGTCTACGGACAACTTGAACTCAGCCCTTTAAACCGCCTCGATTTGACGCTCTCGCCTGCGCTCTCTCGCTTAACCAGCGCTTTATGATTACTGTGATCTTATGTATTCAAACTTTGCCACAATATAATTGGCTCACCCACTCCGGAGTCCCTCCTCCCTTCAAGGCTTAGTCCTAGAGCTCTCACCTTCTTCTTGGGATTTGGAGCCGAGCCAGGCACCGTTCTCTAATCGTCTGTGCTCTGGCCTTTCTCGGCAGAGAACATAGGGGAGAGTTCAAGTAGTCACGTAATCATGGGGACATGATAATCATCTTCATGTGTTTGTTGAGATGTGATCCAGTAGAGTTTCAAATGAAAGGTAAAGCATTTGCCGTTGATCAATCCCGTTTTGGGATGCGGCACGCATTCTACTTCCATTTTACATTCGTAGTGGCGTTTGAATGCGATGTGGCCTATACAATGACTTGCGGGGCCAGCCGATGTACAAGTCAGTGTTTTTATCCTCCCAAGTCTGGTACCAATTAACCGACCCCGGAGGGATGGAAGGCTTGGTTGGCCCGGGCGACTCACGACCCAGGATTTGATCCCCGGACCGCTCGCGTGGAAGCGCGCCACTTGTAACTACACTACTTCCACCTCCGAGCTTTAATATTTTTTCTTGTATGTTCTACGCGTATCTTTTCTAATGTTTTGCCTTTCAGGTTGTGAAATTGCCAGACTATCTAGACGATCTCGAGGTGGTTGATCCTAATTCATGTGTTGTCACAAATGACTATGCCAGTGCACATAAGGATGGAGGTGGATGGTTCAGTACTCTGTCTTCGTTTGTAAAAAGTTCGCTTTGGTAACCTCCCATATTCGCGGCTTCTTCACTACTCTAACAAGCTTCCTGCTTGTTCCGCCTTATTTTGTAGGCTAATATTGAGTCTGATCAACTTCACTTCGGTCTTTACCTCGAAACAAGGGTCCCGTTCTGCTTTCTCAATATTTTGCATCTCTACAGATAGTTTTAATCTGGATCTTAATTTCCATTGTGACACTACTGGTTTATACAGCTCTATTGATACTCAAGTGATCCTTATGATGATGGATATGTTAACTTGTTCTATTGTATTGCTGTATGATGTATTGCAAATAAATTTCATATTTCTTGTTAATGGAATGTCTTATATGAGTAGATTTACTCCTACTTTATTTGAATAATCCATCGCGTGGCTTCGGATTTAGTGGGATTCCGACCATCTTCGCGTGTTCCGAAGAATAATTGAAAAGTATATACAGTCGATATTCGAGAGTTTGGGTAGGCGTGTCACCGGAAGGCCATTGCCGCACATGGTAGAAGCTGTGTGGATAAGCTGCTTCAAACGTACATGGCTGGATATCAGAAGCATGCGCAACTCGTATCGGCGTTACTTCCGCTAACACGCCTACTCCAACTTTCAGATGTCGACTGCAATAATTATTCTAAATAACTTGAATCTAAGGCCAGAATCTGTAAGGAAAGTGTGCTTCCTTACCCATTTTTGTAAAAAAAACTTGGAAACATGTTTTCCTGTGATTGTAATGTAGAATACAGGTTTCCACTGCAGCAGGGGTTTTTTTTAGATGCGAGGTGACGTTCTTGTTGCAAATCAGATGCAGTCGATGAATATTGGCTCCAATGGTTCCGATTATATTAACGATCTGTATCGTGCCTATCAAGGTGAGTTGTTCAGTCTTTTCTTGTTCCGAATCGATTTTGGGAGCAGTGTACATTCCCCACGCGTCAGAGATGTTGCCATCTAGGCGAAGAAAACTTTTCTCTATCACCGCTTTCTCTGGTGCTCATGAATCTCGTCCTTTCGGGCAAACCATTTCCTTCCATCACACTGAAGGGTGTGATTGGGGACTACTTCCAGCCCCCCCCCCCACCTCTCCAATGACACGCAATGACGTCAGGAAGACCGCTACGCCTTCCAACTGTCGTGTTCACTTGAACTTCGAAATGTTTGAGCACATATACTAGATGATCGATTATTGCATCTTTCGCGTTTCAATGTGCTGCGCTGTTGTACTATTTTTTTATGTGGCTCCATCACTGTTACTCACAGTGATTATATTTATGCGAAGTCCAACAAGGAACCATGGCGAAGTGGTCAACACAAATTTGTGAAAGAACTTCCATTTTCGAACATTATAAAGTAATGAACAATTAGGAAAGTCTCTGAAACGTTTTTTTTTAACGAAATCGTTGAAGTAGAAAAGCTAGCAGCTATCCATACTGCCTTTGTTTGCACAGATGAAATGCTCCATTGGCGTTCTATTTGTGAGCAAAAAAACCGAATCAATTTCTACTGAACGCAGCATTACCGTGAAAACCTTCATAGCAGTCAATTTCAACCTCGCCCAATGATCATAGTGATGGGTACCACCATCGTGAATCTGCTGTTCTTGGTTGTACTACGTCGCATTTTTGTTTGGAAATAATGGGATGTTCTATTGATGGATTCTCATAAGCGCCGGGTTGTACAACAGCTGATAATGTTGTGTCTCAGATGCTGAAACAATGTACACTGAAACTCGCTCGTCTCGTATTCGTGCTGCTATGTTCCCAGAAAGTGAAGCCGGTCCATCCAGTGGAATTCCTCATCGCGCCACGATAATTGAGCAGGTTTTCTATTGCACTGATAAGGTTTTGTATTTGTTTCGTAGTTTTTCTGAGATCTTCACTTTCAAAGATGTCAGTACCCGCTCGTATCCTGAAAACGGCGGTGCTCGATCTGCTTTCTTTCGAAGGCACATCTGATATCAACACACTTCCAATTCCTGATCTCATTGATCTGATGTCCGACCGTGATGAGGTATAGCCCACTGTTCCACCAATTTCTGGATTTTACAGTTTTGTTTTCTGTGAAACTCCCTTTTAGGCAGTGTTGGCTCGTGCTGTGCAACGTGTCTACCTCTTATCTAAGGAGGACCGCAGCATCGCTTCTTATCCTACTTTGATCGATGCTTTGATCAAGGCCAGCAAGTGAGCAAAACAAATGTGTATTGTTACATACGGTTGTTAACATGCGGTTTATTTCCCTCAATTTTTGTTGTAAACAGTAAATGAAAACCAAATGGGAAGGAAACAGGGAGAGTGTTTTCAAATAAACACTGCGAGTCTGAGCACTGCTGGGCAAGAGAATGTTCTTCAAGCACTCTCCTGCTCAGCAGGAACCAGACTTTCGGAGTTCATTTGAGTTTCAGTAGTTTCCAGTTTTTAGTAGCCAGGTTTTCTCGTTAAATCAAAGCGCAACTTCTCCAGGAGTGACAATGTAAATGTAAAGCGCGATGCAGTTGGAGCGCTGAGCCATATCTCTGAGCATCCGCAAGGAAGAATGCAGATTTTCCGATCTGGTGGATTGGCTGAGTTGATTAGGATGCTCTACTGTCCTGTCGAGGTATTTTGGAATTCGTTCAGCTTGTTTCGCTCATTAGTTCTTCCTTTATATGCTAATTTTCTTGATCTTCAGACTGTTGTGCAGTATGCTGTCACCACGCTTCGCAATCTTCTGATGCATGTGGATACCGTCAAAGCACAGGCACGTGCCCTAGGGGCAATAGAAGCACTTGCGCCACTGCTTCTTAGAAATAATTGGAAATTTTTGGCATTGGTTGCTGACAGTCTGTACTTTCTCCTACTTGGTGAGTGATTGATTCATCCTCTCCAATGTTTCCTCTTACTCCTTTCATCCAAGCGATTTTTTGTGTTGTTAAATAGATGAGTGTTTCCTTCGTGAATGATTTTTGTGCATTGCTTTTTCAGAATTTGTACTTCTTTTCTCACTTACTGCAGTTTTACTTACTTCATATCCTCCCTAGATTTCACAACCTTTTTCAGACGATCCGCAGTCAAAAATCGTATTCCTGTCTCTGGGTGGGCCGCAAACGTTAGTTCACATCCTTAATAACTACTCACAATATCCGAAGTTAATGTATACCGTGATTCGATGTGTGAGATCGTTATCGGTATGTCAACAGAACAAAGCGGCGCTAATTAGCCTAGGTTCGTTATTTGTGGAAGTCTTATTCAAAATCCGAAGTTAAATTACATTTTGCAGGATGTCTCCCTGCGTTATACAAGGAAATGTGTGCAACAACAGATGACCGTGTTCTTCTCGCGATTCTTGTTGCGATGAGAAATCTTTCAGACGCAGCCACCAATGAAGACAATTTGGCCCCACTGGTAAAGTTAGGGTCTTATTGTTAAGTGTTTTGGCAAACTTATTCCTGTCCCCTTCAGGTGATCCGCTTACTTGAAATAGTTCGTGTCGCAGATGCAGCCCAAACTTCCTGTGCTTGTGGAATACTGAGTAACTTAACATGTAATAACGTTCGAAATAAGCAGACGGTTCGTTCAATCCTGATATAATTTTGCAGTGAACGAAATATTACAAATGATGACGTTACAGTTGTGCTCAAATCACGGTGTGGAATCATTAGTGGAAGCTATTAATCGTTTTCCCGATGTTGAAGAAGCTACCGAACCTGCGCTGTGTGCTCTGCGGCATTGCACTGCAAGACATTCATTTGCTGAACAGGTTGGCCTTTTTGTGTAGGCTGATTTGCATTGATAACCTTTTGCAATTCGTTCGCTATACCTCTTTTTCAGGCACAGCAAGATCTTCGCCTTTGTAGAAGTTTCCCAATGCTTCTCCAACTTTTGGCTACCCTACGTGCTCCGGTAATCAAGGCAGCCCTTGGAGTGATACGCAACTCTGCTCTCCTCCGTGCGAACCTCATGGAACTCACTCAGGTACTTCTACTGTTCAGTTACCCATTTTGTCTTCAATTATTCTTGTAGACAAGAAAAGTTAACTGAATTTTCTAAGGAGGTGACCGAAAGGGGTGAAACTGTCGTCTCATTGACTGTGGATATTCTCGGGCGTGCTGCAGCGACGATCCGTGAAGATCCAGCTGCAGAGAGTGATGGTGTCCCAATATGGGGTGTTGTTGAAGGTTAGTTCGAGGAACAGAAACACTCGGAAAGAGGGTTGTGTTTGGGTAATGCGTCTTTCAATTGAAGGGGCCGTATCTGCTCTACATCAACTGGCATCGCACCCAGCCGTGGCAGCTCAGCTTTGTGAAGATCCCGCCTTTTTGACCCTTATAGTCGAGTTTCTCTCAAGAAGCGATGTGAGTTGGACTGATTTTGTGTTTGTCATCAATAAGGAGGTTTAGCTCAAAAACTTGTGTCGTTAAGGTTTCTGGTGCTGAAGATGAATTGCTTGAACGCGAATTGCTTGGTCTACTCTATCAGCTTAGCAAAACCCCGGAAGGAGCGCGTACTGTCGAAGAAGCTGGTATCGATTTTGTGAATTGGATTTGTTGTAATACTTTGTATGAGATGTTATTTTGCGCAGGTGTCACCCCTATATTGGTCGAGGCCATGCGTTCAGAGCACAAATCTGTTGCTACATACGCTTCTGGCGTTCTGAAGAATTTGGAGAATGACAAGCCAGTGCCATATAGACAGGTACTGTGACAACCACTGGAAAATATGTGTATAAGATTTGCGGAGCGGTCGTGAATTTACTCCCGATAGGGAAGCTTGAACACGATTCCTTTGAACAGAACAGTTCAGATGTAGTGAAAGTGTCGGGGAATTGAAAACGTCTCAGGGCATTGCATTATGCGGAGCCGCTTTAGGATACACCCTCGCGTTTCCTTTGCAACCCAGTGCTTTATCTTTTGTACAAACTTGAACAGAGCTACCTTTGCTAGTTGTTTTGGATGGTTGGCTCTTGCAGTAATACCTATTTATGAAGATTCTTTTTCATGATTCAGCAATAGTTCCAGGATTTGGACGCTGAATTGTCATCCGGATGGCAGCGGGATGGACTTGAACCGGAGTTATTCGGGGAAATGTATCCCGTGCATGGCATGGAACGTATGGATCATTTTCCCACTCCTCCTAATAACAGCAGCTGGTTTGATACAGATCTTTGATTTCGTTGTACTTTTCAACTATGACATGCAATCGAAGCTGATTTCAATTTGGAACTCCAAGTTCGCATTAATTTATCATCGTATTTACAATCTCTCATACTTTGTAGTGCAAACTGTATTATTATATGAATGCAATATAGATAGTATCATTACCCAATAAATATTAATCTGTACATAGTTCGCCAGCCTTTTAGCGATGATCGCATATATACCTTGCACGAGTTCCTGAAAAGACTCCCCAGTATTATCAAGCAAAACCGTGCTCTCTGTTTTTCGATGGAAGAAATGGAAGTGGAAAATCGGAAGGATATTCCGGATAGAGGGGAAAACAGTCCACGCCATGGCTATACACGAAGGAATGGGAAAGCTTGTTGTGACGAGAAAGTGTGAAGAAAAGTAGGTTGAGTCAAGTTTTGTAAACCACTACGCGAGTGTTCTGTTCAGTGTAAACTCGTAAATCTCCCTCCCCTCGTGGTTGACCCTTAACTGGTATTATATTTCCACAGTAATGCTACTTTGTGGCATGGTCTTAGAAATCCCAGTACGGTGACACGAAGAAGTCAAGAGAATTGGTGTCCTTTATTGGCTTTTATCTGAGGCCGTTATAGTCGAATTGATACAGGCCTAATTGTTACAGCTATGCCATCCAAAATCTGCTCTACTCAACCTATTTAGTCTTCTGCGATTGTGAACATAGCTAGTATTTGTGCTTCTTTTTCTATTTCGAGTTGATCTTTTGCAGTGCTTCGGGAGACGTAATTGAACAATACAACATACTTTGCGGTTGGATGGCTGTTTATGAAAAGGTGAGGTTCTATTAACTTCTTCATAACGAATCCTATATTATTTTTTTCGTGGGTAATGGGGCGTATGCTTCATTTTCCGGATAGTGTAAATGCACCTCCTTCGGTGCTATCCTCCCCTATTATCTTTGAAGGAGCGGTCATGATCGAACTCTAGGATCAGTCGCTCACTTTAGACGCTACATAGTTGTCACTAATCTTTTAAGGGACGCTTCAAAAAACTCATCGCTCAGTGACGGCTGTCAGAACGCGACCTTGACTAGAATTGGGAAAGGCTCGCACCTAAGGGGAATACTCTTGAGGAATTATGGTATACCGCTCGTTTGTCGGAAGCTTCCCTACTCTGTATATTTCGCACATATTTCAAATTTTGTTTTTTTATAAATAAATAAATGAAAGCGAAGCGGTCCGGATTGTTATGCTTCATCCCTGTTTGGCACTTGATACAAACTGTCGTACTGCTTGTCGATGCCTTCTTCCCAGAAGGAACTGAAACCTCAGTAGCTGTTCGGCTCCTCCCTGAATTCTTCTTCTCGGCTTTCTGTTCAGCAGCGCTGAACTGAAGAGGCGGTAATCGAACGGAGCAATGTCAGAGCTGTAGGGCTCTGATGGATTACCGAGCAGCTCCTGTAACAGCCGTAGATTTGAGGCGGCCATCAACTCCTACTATACAATGTCACGGTACGGCGACAATAAGCTGGTCTGACGAAGTTCTACCGGCTGATGTTCCCTCGAACCTACTGAGCCACTGGCCTGGAGCTCTCCCTTTGTTGCCTTTCTGTCAACCACTGTTTCCTGCTCCTAAATAATTTCGAGAGTGAGAACAGTATTTGGGAAGCAACCGACGGCTTTTTCAAGTCTATGCTCTCTTTTGGAGGAAGGAATCAACAAGTGATCTCGTGTGGTGTCAAGTGGTAGACGGGACTGAAGCGTATTTCTAATCTACTGTCTACAGACCGTTTAGCATTGGCTGACTATTGAAGGCACATCATTCAGTTACAACTGCTTTAGCAATCTTTATTTTTATTTTTCTAGGTTATTTGTCCCGACAACGGTGGGATTGAGTCGATATGTTTTATTGGTGATCAAATACTTTGTACACACTTGAATGGTTCTGTTACGATAGCTGATCCACATTCAGACTATACAAGGGTAATTTACTCTTTCTTCTGTCGTACTTGGTTCTAATTAGAGAAAAGGAAATAATTTTTCAGCGTGTGCAAATTTGCCCATCACCGTTGTGGTCTTCATGCGCCATTGATTCATCTCATGCTGCTTTAGTATCGCATTCCGCTGCTTTGTTCATATTTAGCCTTGATGAATCGACGGCAATATCGACATTATCTCTTGGAGTTGATCAAAGATTGTTTTGTGTATGTAGTAGAGAGAGTACGGTGAGTCTCTTTTTGATTATATTTCGTGATCTTTAGGGTTACCACAAAAGGGAAAAGGGTAAAGATCTCGGTGATGATTAGGCCTTTTAGGATGTGCCACGCATTCTATTTCCATCTAGAATCGTAGGTGTATTTGAATGTGGTATGACCTTTATAATGGCTTGCGGAAGCTAGCAATATAGAGGTCAATTCTGCATTGGCTAGCTCCCGGTTAATTCTTCCAGACGAGTCTGGTATAGGGATAGAAGGCTTCATTTGCTTGAGAAAAGTTCGAGATCTCATGGCGGCATCACCACTACACCATCTCCACACTGGACCACCTTACTTTCGACAGTATCGAAAATCTGCTTGTTAGAGAAAGTGTCTTTCAAGGGGTTATGATTATAGATGGTTTTTCTTGCATATAACTAGCTTCCCGAGATCGATGTAAAGGCAGCAGGGCGGTTCTTAGTAGTGGAAATTAGCTTTTTTCTACTCGGTCAGTGCAGTTCTTGACTTTTTTGCACTTCGATTGAAGTCCACTTCTTTAAACAGTTGTTGAGATATTTAAGTTTTATTAATCTACGAATGACCGGTGCTGCTTGATGTTTGCTTTTGCTGTTTTGCTAACAGTATTTGAGCTGTATGTATTATATTAGGTTGTCCCATAATTAGTGAATCACTTTGGGTATTTTTGAATTCAATTTTTTTCTTTTTTATGTGAAGTCTTTGCTCATCCAAACATACACCTCTGTCATCTACAATGTATTGCCTATACATGGGAATTTATTCGCTGTCTTCCTCTGAAATTCAGGAGCTCTTGATCGAAGAAAGACGGAAGTCGGGTTTGAGGTCATGTCACTTAGCGTAAAATTTCTTCCTGGGGAAGAGCGCTAGAGCTCAGACTGAGTTGTCTTTTGTTGGCACGAGGATAGGGCTACACGGCGGAGGTGGAAGAACTGCTAGCCTGGAGTCTCCAATTTTTTATGAATATTCTCCGCAAGGTGGGGTCGAACGACCTCAGGAAAAAAGCAGACTTTGTCTTGCTTTACTTTCAAATTGAACGCGTCGCCATTACGCTGTCGACGTTGATCTTCTTCAGTGACCCTAGTATTACTGGGCGGCGGTTCCCAGCGCAAGGTCCATCTCGTGTTTCACGAATATCTCGGAAGTGTCGGACTTAGAGGAGGTTGGGCTTTTGCTGTCAGAACTCCCGAATCGTTCAAGCTAGGCTACTGTTCCTTGTGGATTTGAGCACACTCCACCCAGTCCACAACCCAGGTGAGCATGCTGGATGATCACTGTAAGGAACTAAGAGGAGATCAGAAGGAACATGACGATGTCAGATCGTGTTTGGAGCTGATTCGGGCACAGAGCACGGGAGGAACAAATTCATATTTTTAAATCTTTACGACTCTACGGAGTTGTCTACATTCCATCATCTTAACAAGTTGGATACGCTCTAGCAAATAGCGACTAGTTTGTCCAGATCCATTCTTAGTGGCGCTGGGTAGGGCAGTGAGATTGCCAGTCGAGGGTAGTTGGAGTGTGGGTCATCTTCAAATAAAAAAGCCAACCCCGGAATAGAGTGAACATAAGTGCACCGTGGATTGAGGGAGCGTGCCCTCGCCTATCTGCTGGTTGATCCTCTATGTTGTTTGGCGTTTGAAAGATCCTAATCAGAAGTGATGAAGAAGGAAGCTCAAAAATAGGTTCCAGAAAAATTGATGTAATAGCCACGTAAGGCAGCATGTAAATGGGCTGACTAATTGCTCAGGTAGGATAATGTGGGTGCTACTTCGCAAAACATGTTTCACGCCTTCACCATTTTTCTTGGATTTTTATAGCAATAAATGTAAAGTGATTCACTAATTATGGGACAACCTAATAGTACTTCGCAGCATAAGAACCTGTACTTTACTCCACTGCTGTGAGAAACGGAGAGATACTACTTCTGAGGCACTCAGGAAAAGAATCTTCCTAGAAATCATGTTATCATCGAAGCTCTTGGCTTTCGCGCCGCCTTCATCTGAGTCTTTGATCATTGCAATCTAGCATGTTGATTACATTGGTTTCACTTTCAGATTGCCGTAGGTGCTATGGATAGCGTATATGTGGTTAAAAATAATGCGGTGATGCATAAATTAGTGGTTCCCAGGAAGGTGGGTTGGTATAGAATAGCTGTCTAGTCTATGGGCTTTATCGCTCATGTTTTTTAGGAGAAACGCCTCCCAACTATCGTATGGAGTTGTTGTTTTTTTAATGAGACCATTCTGGCCAGTGGCGATTCTCGTGGTGTTGTGTCTTTCTGGAATTTTCAAAATGGAGCGCTAGTTTCTGTTAGTCAATTTCGAGATCTTGTCCTATCTTTGATGGCGTGCTAATACTCGGTAATCAGTCGTGTTAAGAGTTTGGAAACCCATCAGTCCGAAATACTCTGTTTGGTGCTATGTGAAGGTCGCATTCATGCAGCTGGTGTTGATCCGAGAATAATAAGCATCAAACACATAGTGAGTTGTCTTCGCCTTTGAAATGGATTTTAGTTTCTGGCATTTTAAGAGTTTTCGAAATTCCAGGCAGGAAATGATTTTCGTGTTGTGCAGCAGCGCAACGGACCGATAAGGGATGTCCGAGCAATGGCATGCTTCGACGATAAGGTGTGCATAGTTTATCCGCTCATCTTCTTGAGAACACTTAGGCTAAACATCTAATTTAAGGTCTACGCTGCAGGCGAAGACCACGCTATTTTCGTTGCAAAGAGCGGCTGTCAAGTTGTGGCGAGCCAGTGGAATGTGAGGATTGATCAAATAATTCATTATTATAA